TAGTATGCGAAGTGCGTCTTCCGGTCGCTTATCCCAGGTCTCTTTGGTCAACGCGTTGATTGGTGATACGAGTCTTGTAAGCTTTTCTTGGTGCAGCAAAACATCGTCTTCTTTCTCGTAGTCCCTTGGCATGCCTTTCATGCTCAACATCTCTTCCACTGCATCTGCCCATCCGGCACGAACGAAGCAAGACAGAACAGAGTACTCGTACGTCATCTGCCACGGGCGATTTGTGACACCGGCGTTCTTGATTTCGCTCTTGTTGTCGAATGCGCCTGAAACGAAGGCTGTAGGATCGAAGTTTTGATGCTGCATGACGAGTTTGAGGGTACTCATACCGCGATCGACATTTTTCCATTTTGATAGGCCATCAAGGAAGCTGGTCTTTGTAACACGAACCTGGATCTCATTCCAATAGTGCTGCGCGTCATACATCTCTCTTGGCCATTGCTCGACCATTGGGTTTGCGCCATGATATACAAGACAATCGATGAGGTCTGCATGTCCCTTGTAGGCAGCCGCCAAGAGCGCGCGATCCATTGGAGTGTAGTCTTCTCTCTTCGTTGCGTCTCCGTAAGTGGCACCCTCTCTCAAGAGATAGTCGACCACTCTGGCTCGTCCGTTCATGGTAGCTTTCGCTAGGGCCTCGTGCTTTACCTTCTTCAACTTACTAGTTGATCGATACATAGGATCAGCTCCCATACTGATGACTGCCCTGACCAGTGAAAGACTACCCTCCGCAGCAGCTTCTTCGAGAATATCGGTAAGGTCGTTTTGTGATGGACCACTAGCTGAATTTGGCGTAGTAGCCGCTCTTTTGAGTAGGAAGCTCTTCTTGAAAGGAGATGCACCCTTCCGATCTGATGGCGGCTCCTTCCTGCTCAGTCTGCGCAGTGTCTCAGCTCGAGCATCGCCGGGACTCATGTCGGATGCTTCACTCTCTATACTTTGCGTGGTGGATATAGAGATATTTCTTCGTGATGACTGATCTAGCCCCCCAGGTAAATCTGGTAATACGGATGAGCCCATGCTAGAGCTGCGATTACCATTCGCCATGTAGGCAGTGCTCACACGCTCAGAAATGCCATGGACGACCTGCAGTGGTTGTGGTGTCGAAGTGGAGGGCGGAGGATGATCGAAAGCGATATACATGGATTGCATCCTGTCTGACAGACCATCTTCAGTGCTATCGCTGCTTCCCCAAGACATCGGAGGAGTAGGGGGGACTGTTGATGCATGTTTCAGAAATCGTAAAGGCTGTGGTGGAGAAGACTTCGACGCGCGTTGTGGGAATTGTGGCCGAACAGCTTGCGAGTCTTCGCTTCCTGGGGGTCGGGAGAATCCATCGGTTGGGGGCTCAGGAAAGGGTTCCATTTGAGGGTTATGCGATAGTAGTGGTCCTTCGCGCAGTGGTGAGAAGACGTTGCCAGACTTGAGAGATATGCCATCGGCTGTGAGTGGCTGCATAGCGATACTGGCCCCAGACCCAGCAATGGAAGATGCCAACGGAAGACTTGCTGCCTCTTGCCGCTTTTGCGGCACCTTGTGAGTATGGTTCAGATAAGTGACATTCTCGTCAGCCTTCCCTGTTATTGTTGGAGATATCGACGGGTGGGGCGCAAGGTATTCGAAGGATGGTCCGCCATAGAAGTTGCCGTACTCAGCAAAGCCGTCTGCATATCGCTGCTCTTCTTGCTGCACCGCCATTGTTTCTTAAGCTCTTTGTTCGAGATTGATGTAGCTGTATTGGCTGCGATGAAGCGCTGCCAGGTGGTGAGGGATGCCAGGAGAGCGCGGGGTAAAAGTGTTCCCGGCATTGATGTTTGATTGCTTGTCAGCATGCTTTAATCCAGCCTTGTCACTAAAAGTGACATTTCAGGCGTTCACTACTACCGGGTGGAAGACTGGCTTCCGAGACCCTGACAAAGGCGCAAGCGGGCTGTGGTGCCGGCGCACGGAAAGCCGTCCAACACTGGGATCATGGCCGCAAAGGGGCGTTCATCGCAGCCTCTGGAGGACTTTGGCTGGGAGTGCGAGATGAGCATGCGGTATAAGCGAATTAGGTTCGTGAATGCAGCACGTGGGCGGAGAACTTCGGGATGCTCTCAATTCGGCTGCCATAGATGTCGCGTCAACGCTCTTTTCCGCCGCTCGTCGTTTGTGAACTTCTCTCTTGTCGTGGGGAGCATTGTCAACATGCCGTAGCGCCGATATGAAAAGTGATCGGTGGGTGTTTCTTTGTTCTCAAGTTGCCAAGCTAGGAGTGCCTCAGCCCTGCATGGAGAACCGAAATTCCGAAGCCCACATCCACCACGCTTATCTCGATCGTTCAGATGCCACTGCCGCGAACATATTGTCATCAGAACCTTCCAAGCCACTGCTAGGTCGTTAGTTGCTTACCTATCCTCCAACAACGCGTTCTTTCCCGCCATATCAGCGCGCAGTGGAGATGGATCTTGCCAATGTTGGTCTGAAGGACTATCTGGTCATCGGCTCTCTCACCGGGCTTTTGCGAACGACTTCGATGCAAATTGCTGGCTACAAGCAGAGGGATCTCACATACTTTCAGTCCTACGGGACGTGGGCGAGCGCGAGCCTCGTTACTATTGTCGTATACACTATTGCGCTGCGGCTGCTAAGGAGACCTGCATTGCGGGAGGGTCGGACCAAGTAGCAGGAAGCAACGAAGCGGCAAGGCAGCCACGACAAGGGCGTCTCGAGGGCGGCTCAGTTCTGAGGCAGAGAAGATATATCGGCGATGGGAACCTCAGTGATATTGTACACGCTGGATGCCCTATGATGGTCCCTTCCTCTGAGGCGGGATGAATCGGGACGAGTGCACGGGTGCAGTTACTCAGCGAGGAGCTTTGACCAGGTCTTTCGTGCGTGCCGTCATCACCAATGCCGTCCATAATCTCCAGAACACCAGAACCACCGCCATCTTTTCTGTATCGCATCGAATGTCTTCTATCGGCTCCCATGGTCGAAGAGAGCTACTTTTGAACTGTTCGAATCCTCTTGATGATATCAGCTCGTCGTCATCTCAATTTAGGAAGCTGCGACGGCCTGCATTGCGTGGCAGGCTGGGTTGGACCGCTTTCTACCACATCCATCCTGCTCTTACATCGCGACGATACCTGGATCTTGTCTTATCCCCAAGGAGGATATACAAGCGTCACCAGTTTGCGCTCCCCTCTCAAGGCGACTTACCAGAATGGCGCGATTAAGAGTCGCGCATTATGTTCTTGACTTTGCCGAGATATCTTGTGCCGAGGAATCTCGCGCTCCATACCAAGCTCATTTATCTGGAAATCTGCAAGCCTATTGACATGATCCAGATGTCAAAGTGGCACAGTTGGCCCTACTGTATAAGGTTTGCTGATGTCGCGTCATTCCCCTCTAGCGCAGAGCCCCTGGAGGGTCGGAGCATGGCTGCGACACCAGACGCTGATTTTGCCAAGGGTACTGTACCCTCGACCTCTGATCCAGGCCATCTCCACGGGTCCGTTGGCCCACTCCACAGAGATCTGTAGATCAGTGCGCGATGATTGTGGAATCTAGGGTCGGGGCTTTTGGAGAAACAAGGAATCCACCATGGCGCTACGGAACGCCTTCGATCGCAAATTAAAGACATTTAGCCTACGGCGTGTCAGACGCGCACGCAGGTTCCCAGTCGCTTCATGAGTGAAGAAGGACCGACGACGTCGAGGGAAAGTCGACCGCGACCACTCCGAGGGATTGCATGCTGATCGGAGGCAACCCCGCGAAATCGCCAAGTCGTTGGAATGCTATCTGACCCTGCCGCGAGTCAAGCGTGCGTCGTCCATCGCCACGAGGCTGTCTCAACGCAAAATTGGACCGGCTGGGCAGAAGCCACGAGGATATCCCAGGACAGCTCTATAGCGTGCGGTAGCTCCACGACAAGCTCAACCAAGGACACTGATGGACTCAAGCACTTCGTGACGGCGCCCGCACTTAGCTTACCACGTTCGCTGTGCATTCGAGTGTCCCGATTCGCGGCTCAGAAGTTCTCGAGCTGCTTCGGCTTCTTCTAGTGATGTGTTGGTATGGTACTGGTGTTTCATTGTTTGCTCAGCTCCCTTTGTCAGTTCCGTGGATGCATGATGCCTGCCCGACGACAGAGACTGTACAACTCGCGGCAAGATTAAGATAAATTATGGACGGGACGGGGAATGTTCCCGCTCACGTCCGAGACGCGGCGCCATAAGAGTGAGGCATGTTGATACCTGCTATCTATCTTGCGCGTACAAACGTTGCGATAACCTCATGACGTTCGGGCAACGTTGTCACGTCAGTGCGAAGCTCGTATTCGCAGAATACCGAAGCTTCTCATGCCCGTTAAGCAAAAGGAAAAAAGGGTTCGTCTCACCCGCAGTGGCCGCGGAGCCGGTTGATCGACTACTGATCAGCACGGGACAGACGCTACCAGCCGCCTGGAACTATGCGACTCATGATTCCGACGTGTAGCACAAGACGCCGGATCATACCACTCCCTTTTAACCTACCCTGACCCTAGGCTTCGCGCTGCCCGCTATATGCAGGTGTGAAGATGTCAAACAACCCCAAGTAGAGTTCGCACTTGACCTCACTCACCACTTCTCTCCGTTTGTTCCCATTGGGGCGAACTTAAACTCCACCGGCCACACATACTGTGTGTGTATGCTGCCGCGATGGAGATAGTCACTTCTATAGTAAGAACTACGCGAGCCCGAATGATTTGAAGTCTCACTCACATCCACAGGTTATCCAGGGGATACTCCTCGTGTTGGCACTGGGTGTTACGATACTAAGATGTTGGGTCCGTCTTTGTCTGGAGCACCGTTCATTGACTCTACCCGACTACCTCGTTTGGGGAGGCTTCATCTGCGCGCTTGGATGGTTTGCCTGCTCTACAAGAGCGCTTTACATCTTGATTGATCATCCCCTGGATGAGGAGACAAGGAGCGACTCCGTCGAATACCTGAAGGTACGTAAAAAACATGACCTTCAAGATACGCAACGAGGACGAGTGAGCTGACAGGTGTTTGCTGCTAGGTCGTATTCGTGTCTATCTACTTCTTCGACACAGGGCTGTACTTCCCCAAAGTTTCGCTGGTGGCTTTCTACTGGTGGTTGATCCCGCAAGGCTTCAGACGTCTTCGTTACGCAGTATATGCCACTACTGCGATCGTGATCGCCTGCTTTGTTGCGAGCATACTGTGCGATACTCTTCTCGCGCCAAACATCTCCGACAATTGGTACGGCCTTTACCCTTACTTCGATCAAGTTGTTTCTTGGCTAACATCTACTTTCCAAAAGGTCTATCGAGAACCAGCTCAACTCAACATGGAATACCTACTCCAATCTGGTGGTCAACTGGACACTCAACTTCGGCACCGATCTGCTGCGTACGTAGCCCAAAGTCACTTCCTGAAACATGAGCTAATACTGTTCCCAGTATTCGGCCTTCCATTCTTCATCTTCAACTGCTTGAAGCTGCGTAGAAGACAAAAGGTCGGCCTGGTCGGAATCTTCTCTCTAGGCGCCATCACGATGGCAATCAGTCTCGCCCGTTTCATCGTCTACAACATGGACTACGACATCGCCGACGCCGACGGCAGTACGTCACCCTTCCCATCTCACCTCCCCAAGCCTCCACTAACAGCCCCCAGACCTTTGGTGCACGGCCGAAATGTGCACAGCCGTCATCGTCGTCTCGCTCCCGTCCTTGAAGGCACTCATCATCAAACCCACACCCGCTACCTCATCCAACCGCAGCAACTCAGGCTATTTGCAAGCTGGCTCCGGCAAAACGATCGGTAGCAAAGGTATCAACTTCAACGGGCACAGCTCGAATATTCAGGGCGGCACTATGGACGATGAAATGGAGTTGACTTTTCTGGACCGAAAGGCTAGCCCTACACCAACTGGAACCACTGATGGGTCACGCTTGCAAGATGGGAAAGATAATGTGATGGTGACTACAGATTTCGAGGTCACTAGTACGAGGAATGTGTTTTAGGTTGGTGTGTCAGTGTTCCTGATCGTTATTTGAACTGCATAAAAGATAGAAGGAAATGATAGTAATGACTACCCGTCTATTGTCCTCACAGCGAACACCGTCCGCTCAATCCCCTGCTCCAATCCCTCGGGAACTCGTTGTACCGGGATAGTCGAAACCGCATTTTCAGAATCGAACGCTCTGCGGCATGTCTGCACATTTACCACCTTGTAGTCCTCGCGATAAACAGCATGCGATAAGAACATCGGGATTATATTCCCTAGACCCTCGGTCCCTTCTTAGTGAACATGATCGGGCCCTAAGTCGTTCTAGCTATGTAGGCGTAATATTGTTATGGAATAACATGTGACGTCAAGCCGCGAAGCCGGACTCGAGAACTAGCCATGTAGCACACGCGGCCTTTAGGTAGCCATATACGCACCATCTAATCGCACAAGCTCGCAGTCCATCTAGCACCGAGACGACATATATCGCGCATCGCATTGCCGCATCGTGAAGACAAGCTATGCAGAGGTTATAGGGAGATTGGCAGTCACGATCCCGTCGCAAACGTCCGTGCGGTCATAACGGCAATGAGGAGGCGGTGCATCCCTCCCACTCCGCCCAACCACATCGCCCACCTGACCCCCGACCCACACACCCGCCGTCATCCACCACCGACTTCATCCTTTCCTCATCGCTGGTCGCACGCCTGCCCTTGACGCCGTCACGAACGCTTTACCCCGATTACCGAGCCTCACCCCATTTGCGCCTTCCTACGACCACTCGCCGCGCGACTCCTCGGACGTATCGCATGCCGCCGATATGAAGCCCAGTAGCCGCCTCGTTTCCGCGTCCGCAATACTGCTGGCTTGGACGGGCTCCGTACTCGCCGATGATACCATCAGCGGCACAAAGATCAAAGTGCAGCTTTTTGCTGCGCCGTCGTTTTTGAGCGAAGTCAGCGTCGACGCGTATAATAACCAGTGTCTCTCGCTGGATAATAATCTGTATGTTGCGCACACCTGTCGCTTTCGCGTAGGATTGGGGGAGTGGTTGTGCTAACATAAGGGATACAGCATTGATGGCCGCGTGCAGAGTATTTTGGTAGGCGGACACGATGTCAAGGCTGTGCTGGACAGAGATGATTATTGGAGCTGCCGGTTTTATGAGTAAGTCTATTGTGCGGTAGATGGGGTAGGTATTTCAGAGAGCGGCAGCTAATCTTACCACAGCAATTACGACTGCAGCGGCGACGAGAATATGGATCAGTTTCTCTCTATTTCAGATGGCGCGAATAACCTCGGGAGTGTTGGTTGGGGGACAAAGATACATGGGTTGAAGTGCAGTAATAAGGAGCACGAGGACGACTGAATAGATGACGAATGAGGGCAAGAGATGGATACATGTTGCGATACATACGTCGAGCGAGATTCGATCCAGACAGAGTAACATTCGTTGCGCGACGACACAACCCACATTACGGATGCGAACGATACACCTCCGCCGCGGACACTGGGACACGCCCAGGAAGGCCAGAAGCACATCAGACCGACGTGTGCAGGTCGTATGGCGCGAGTTGGTCAAGCACACAAGCAGAGAGGGCAATGGGTATATACCAAGGGCATGGTTCGTGCGATATAGCGTTGGCATTGGCGTTTACATTGGGGTTCTGCATTTACATGCGATGGGAGATGGCACCGGCGTTCGAAGTGCTCGACGCCCACTTAGTGCTGTATCAGTACCGAATTAGGATAAATCTAAATATAATGATTGTATCGAGCTTACGTCTATGCTCGTCGGTGGTTGGGGTGTGTGTTGTCTGTTGCTCCAGAATAGTTGACATACTGAGTCACGCCTTCGACGAAATATGTACGCTCTCTTTACACATATAATCACTCATCCATTCATTCAATCATGCCATCATAAGCACTAGGGTATCTCCAGCGCAAAAAACACATCCACAAAACACATCCACAAAACGCCATGCCATGCAATGCTCCCACAGCCCCTCCCAGCTACAAATCAATCAAATCCGGCGCCTCTCCACTCCCCACCCCCCTCAACAACACAATCATATTCCCATTCTGACACGGCTCCCCAATCTTCTCACTAAACTTCAGCAACCGTCCCCCCTCCACGTGAAATACCCGTAGCTTCTCCTCCTCACCCCCACCCCGATTATTCACATTCTGCACCTGCAGCGCCTTCGCCGCCATATCCAACACACGTCCTACTGTCCATTCTTTATTGTAGAAGAATTTCCCCGTGGGGTATTTCGCTTTCGTTGTATCGGCCGAGGCTTCGACGTGGAGGTATATGCGTTTCTCGGCGGGGATGCTGGCTTCGCCTTTGGCGACGCGTTTGAGGGCGTTGAGTTCCGCTTGGGCGGAGGATGCGGTGGAGGAAGAGGAGGATTTGCCTAGGCCGAGGAAACCGCCTGTTTTCTTGGATGAAGAGCGCCGTTTCTCGTCGTCCTTTTTCTTTTGCTCCGCCCATGCTTTCAATCGAGTGAGCGCGGTTTGCGTGCGTGCTTGGACGTAGTTCTGGGGGCGCGCGCCGAGGGGCGTGAGGGTCGAACAGGAATGGTCTTCTTCGAAGCGGTGTTTGAGGCAGTATCGTCTGTTACAGCGGGGACAGTGGACGCCTTGGGCGCGCGCGGTGTCTATGAAGGTCTTGCAGGAGGGGTCGGCGCATTGTGAGTCGTGGTTGTAGACGCTGGGTTTGGGGGCGGATGGCGTGGTGTTTTGGGCGTTTTTGGCTTTTTGGCGCGCCCATTCGCCTTCTTTGGGGCATTTGTGCGCGTATTCGGTGCGGTGGTCGAGGCAGAATTTCCTGGGCGCGGGTGTTAGTATGGTGGTGTATGGTGTGTAGGTACGCGTGGGACGCGTAGACTTGGATGTGGTAAGGACCTACCCATGACAACTCTCGCAGCGGAATGGTAGGAAGTCTAGTACATTGCAGTATTCCATCTGGCAATGCGCCCCGATTGCTTCTAAGTCGCCCTTCATCTCGGTGTAGCTTGATTCGTTGGCTGCCATGGTTGTGGTGGATATGGGAATGATATATGTGTGGACGGCTGAGTGAAGAAGATGCTAGAGAGCTAATACGGAGGCGACAGTGTGTAATAACGAAGCTGAGCAAGCATCGGAAGCCTCGAGAAGGCGGTTAGGCTACCAAGAGCTTACGATTGTCGCCGCGCCATCTCGGAAGGCGATTCCGATGAATGTAGCGCTAACCGTGAATGATTGCTAGCGTCAGGGTCCAGGAGCTGCCATCCATCTCATCCAAACCTACCTTCACTGTTACCTTCACCACGACCACGATGTGAATAATCTACAATGAATGCCAGCTACGGCCGGGCACATCTCAGTCGCCCGTGCTTGACATGAAGCGGACCAAACTCCGACCTTAGCTCATCGCCTTCGCCAATTTGGTAGCAGGGCTGAAGCTTATCCTCGCCAACGCCACGTACAAGATCATGCACGCATTCTATTCGTTCAGAATGAGCTAAGTCAGCCGTGCTTATGCATATGAACCCATTCCCCGCTGCTGTTATTCATCTTTCTTATCACAAAACCTCAAATGGCGGAGGTGCTGGGCGCCGTCGCCGCTGTTGTCCAGTTCGTGGACGTAGCTCTCCGCCTCTCATCCTGTCTCGAACGCTTCTGCTCAGATGTGCGCAATGTGCCGCGGCGTTTTGTCCAGCTGCAGACCGACCTACGTCAGCAAATCGAGATCGCGCAACAGATCCAGAATCACCGCTTGCCTGGTTTCGCGACGGCAGTGGCGTCCTCGGCTTTTGACACGCCTCTAGCTGAGTACATTGATCTCGCTGAAGAGTTGCGTAAGACGCTGGAAGGTCTGCTCGGCCGTAAGAATGATGGTGTGTTGCGACGAGGCTGGGATGCCATCTGCTCCGTCCGTAAGAAAGAAGAGGTGGCAAGCATATGTGATCGACTTGAACAGAAGAAGAGCACCCTCTCCCTGTGGTTGGAAGCAGCGAATCTGTAAGTGGATTTCCAAGGAGACTGAAGCTGATCAACCGGCCTGGAGAAGACCACTGTATTGACTAGCGTACAGCAAGCTCGCATCAAGTATCGCGGCGACTGCAGACCAGACGCGGCTTGATGTTAGCGATACCCTGACGCTTGTCAAGATAGTCGACAATACGTCTAATAACATCGCAACAAACACAGCACACCTACTTCCCCACATCGAACGGGTCGATCGTACCCTCGCGACCACTTCCATCAGAACGGAGCACATCTTGGAAAATAGTCAACGCCTCCTGGCAGGATACGATACGGATGCAACAGCACGGGAAACAAGTCGACAGATCACGGCGATGACTTTGGCAAATACAGAGCAGATCATCGCGGCCATCGAAATGTTGACTTTAGGCCCAGGCAAATCCAGCCCACATGTACAGTCCGGCTACGTTACGGGTCATGTCTATGCCGGCTCCTCGGCAAGCCAACAATTTCAGCAAGGTACGGAGAACCATGGCCGTAGACATAAAAAATGCAAATGCCGCACCGTCGGTACTGCACGTCGGTGGCAGCCGTTGTCAGTCCTTCGGTTCACACGGACCTTCCGAACCCAACACTTCTCACACTGTCCCGAATACCGAAACTCAGAACAAAGTCTCGAAGTCACTATGCAGATTGTCCCACCCTCTTGGCTTCTTTGCCACACCATAGACTTCGGTACTAAGATAAGAAACTGGTCAACCATGAGTCCCTTTTCGATTAGTCCGATTGTGGTTGGTACAAGCCGGCTCGTCGATTCGAAGACGTCGCCTGCGTTTCGTGCGATTGCAAACACTGGGAAGGAGCTTAAAGATCGCCGTTGGGTTACACGACTGCATCACCCAGAGGTTCCTCAGCTTCAAGTTACTCTACAACGGTTGTTCGACAACGGAGAAGCCTCAGTTCTCGACACTGATAGTGATGGCCGCACTTTGCTGAGTGTAAGCGATTGCAACGTTGTCTTCTGCGTATCATGTTAATTGTATGATAGGAAGTCGTTCGCTTATTCATCCTAGAAGCTCATCTGTACGGCACATACAATGACTACACTGCCATTGTTCAATGTTTATTGGATGGCGGAGCCGATCCAAACACGTTGAACAACACCTCACCCGGTGTCGGGTTTGCCTATTTGAGGGATCATGTAGGTACTATGTGTGACCGACTTGTAAATCCAATCGCGGAGGAATTAAAGTGTTCGACCCCGGAGAGATCGAGATTATTCATTAACGTAGTTGATCAACTTGTGCAATCTGGCGGACATACCTCAAAACCTTACCTAGGTGTTATGGGTCGTGGTCTCCAATGCACGGAATTCCGTAACTACGTCAAACAGTTGGCGATCTTCGAAGACCAGATTGATCGTGAGTTTCATGATACGTGTGAAAGTATAATAGCTGATGCGTCGCAGTCATAGATCTGGGACACATCTTGCCAGTGATCCTGGGACAGCAAACGGAGCATTTCCGCCGCATGATCGACACAGCTAACTCATCAATCTTGAACCGTAAATCACCCGTCAACGGACTTGCTCCAATCCATTTCGCCGTCTTGTGGCCAACGGGGCTGAGAATGTTAGTTGGAACAGGCGTGGATGTGAACACCGAAGACAACTATGGTCGGCGACCTATACATCTTGCCGTGGCTTTAGGAATTGTCGATTCTGTCCGATGCTTGCTCAACGCCGACTGCGGGCTTTTTACCCCTGCAAACGACTGCAGCCTATTGCAATATGCGCTAATGTTGCACGAAGAAGACGAAAAATCACAGATCTTGTCCCAACTCATCCAGGCGCTATATGATCGCCATAATCGTCTTAGAGATATGGCCATATCATATTTGCCACCTTCTGTATCTACCAAGCTCGAGTTGACGCTCGGGGAACTACAGGAACGGCGTGCGCCGTCGATCATGGAGACGCTTCTATCGTATGGGGTAGATATCCCTCCAGCTCTGGAACTCGACGGAAAGAGACTTTATATTTTCTGCATGGATAGGAGCAGACCGATTCAATTGACGGCACAAGCCGCAAATCAACTGTGGTGTTCCGGATTTCGCCTTTTTGACGAACCCAACGACAACGGGTGGACGCCGTTCTTGCTGAGTTGGTTCTGTCACAATTTTGACATGATTGACTGGTTTGCGAACAGAGGTGTGGGGTTAGATTCTAGGCATACGGACGTCCGTTTGACTGCTCTTCATCTCTTCGCAAAGGGCATGCTTGCCACTGAGACAGCTTCCAGTGACACATCAACCATGAAGCGACACTACATTGAACTGTTACATGAGAAACTTGGTATACCGTACGATGACTGCTCTTGCATGTGCTCCCCCGATGGCTGCACACCTGCCAAATTCGTATTCGATGGCGCAAGTGATTGGCGTGATCCTCCACAAAAAGATCAAGTTCGGGAGTTCATCGCAGATTTGGATCCACCAAAGCCTCTGCTGGATCAGTATATCTACCTGTTTACGCGACATGTTTTGTTCGATTTCCTGGGGGGTGGACATACTTGCTGTTCTCTTGGGAGGAGACATTATTCCTTATGGAATCTGCAGAGACCCACATGGAAAAACGGATGGCCAAAGAGCTATTACGGCCCCTCAGGTTTCGGCGGTCAGCACTCTCAGTGTTGCAAGAATGGACTTCCCGTACCACGACAATGGACTCCGAGTTACCAGGCTCTGTATGACCCTCACATATTCAGCGTAACTCTGGAATCTGCGATGTCACACTACGACGAGATGGATCGGCCTGATACAATGCCAGCCGAAGAACAAGTTTTCGCATACATCAGGTGGATTTTGGAGGAAGGATATCTGGATATCGATGTCATCGATGGCTGTGAATGTCGTCCCTAGGACTAACTACGTACTTGTATCAAAATCCAACGTTGATGTCCTTCGTGGCTGCATGAGCATGCTTTTGGGTTTGCCATCGCGTCTTCAGCATGATAACCTGCGCTGCATCTCTTGACTAGCCACCTCCGTGGCACCATCTTCAATTCTGCACTTCTTGAAGGTCTAGAACGGGGAAGAGGTTATCGCTGCCGTTAGTTTGGGTCATTACCCCACTGTCATACGCGAATAACACACTTGCCGCATGCTTACTATCCAGTTTTAACAGGTGAACAGCTTCTAAAACAAGGTATAATTCTATGAGTACTCATCGAAACCTTCCAAGGTCGTCTCATTAGGAGTGCAAAGCGTTCGTTGACACATGCGCGGTGCGACAACGTGAATTGAGACGGCCTACAAACCCATGGCTTGTCTGATCGCCTGATCAATTTCCTCGTCAATCTCCTCCTTGTGTTCAGAAAAATAATCATCGACGAAAGATGCTACTTCTTCTTGCGTATAACAAGGCCCTTCTGGGAAACAAGACTACGAAGGCATCAGTATCTCACACAAAAGGTACCTCTGCAAACTAAAACATACCTTTGCAGCTGGCGTAGCCTTGACCACTGCTTTGGCGTGTAGCGCGCGTGTAGCGAGTACGTCGGAAACAAACCCCAGGATATACACTGCCGCGATAGTGAAGATGAGGAGCTTGATGGTGAGGAAGACTAGGTCGATCTTCGTCTTTCTCGTTTCTTCATCGAATTCCGCCTGAATCCTTGCGAGCTCATTGTCGTTCTTTTGAGCTTCTAGGTCCAGCTTGAACTGCTGTTCTGGCGTTCGTGTGCTGGTGGCTGGAACACGCCATGATAGCTGTGGGGTTGAGGTGGTGGTATAAGCCGGGAGGGTGTCCTTTTCGTTGAACATGGTTGTGTATGCTGTGGAAATTATTGCTTAGTGTGGTCGGTTGCAGTGGTGGAATCTAAGCAAAAGTCTGAGAGCGGTATGAAGGAAGAAACGATGGGACGCAAGTGCAGGCTTTTTTGTAGAGCAGGCGCGCGGGCTGCGCCTCGTAGAGAACCGTGGTTGGGGTTCGCGCTACGACGCGGTCAGTACCTACTCTTATGATTTCTAGCAACGTTTATTCGCTCAAATAGATGATGGCAGCCTAGTAGGAATTGTGGTTCTAATTCATGGCGCTCAGGAAGCCGAAGGTCTACAGCCGTGCCTCATCGAATGACCGGCATCGACACACACTCTAGAATTCGTGATCTTGCCCCAACATGCCCACCCGAAACTAAGCCGCGTGCTTTGTATAGATCGGAACTTCTTAGTCAGGGTCGCTATGTTCCAGGTCCGCAGCAATGTAAGGAATTTCGGCGCCCTCCTCGACCTGTGAAACGTCTACGATCCCTTCCTTCATGGACTCTTCAGACCTGCGATGGCGCTTCAGTTGCACTTGGGCACGCGCGTCCAAGCCAACATACTCTTGAAGTGGGTTTGACTCAACAGTATTGGCCATGTGGTAGCTATAGTACTGTTAGTTTGAGACTTCGAGAAAGGCACGTCGTTACCGTACATGAAGCCATGACCCTCCATAGGGTGGAAGTCTTTGACGATGGTGCATCCCGCAGTTGCCGCGACTAGGGCCCTGACCTCCGCTGCTTTCGCGCTGTTCGCAGGGCCATCTCTTCCTCGGACGATGACCTATCATGATTAGCACTCGGTACGGCGATTAAGTGTAACTTGTATTGTTACAGTCCAGAGATAATGGTCTTTTGGTACCGCGGGCATGATGTTGTAGTTGGTATTGGGATAATTGGCGTCGGGAGCGGCTGAGTTGAGGTAATTGTTTGTGATGGCGATTGAATTTGCTGTTGGGTAGTAGAGTTGAGAAGTCAAGATTACTTGGGTAAATTGTTATCTTATATCTGGCCGTTTGCGAAGATGCGGAGCCCAACGTAGGCAGCGAGTATCTTACCTGCCTTTACCTTGCGCTTTGCGGTGTGACCACGGATGAATCTTTGTTAGCATAGAGGGACACAAACGAGGGTGATGCGATTATGGCATGTGTCATTCGACAGGCGTGTCTCATTGTCTGCTCCATGGCTCGTCCTGTGTAGCTCAATTGAACCATCTCAAACAAAATCCCCCCGTGGTGACTGCATAAGAGCTTTTGCAGTCGTGGATAGAGCTTGTCGCCCCTTGTAGCTGCCAGGGTGACCGTTCGGGGTGCTCGCGCCATGAGCAGTGGAGGCAGCGCTGACCTTAGCCAAACCGAGCTATACTACGTACTCAAGGTGCCAAGAGAAGCGAAAAGTCATGGAGGCCGCGAAGTCGGCGATGAGAATGGTGATGGAAGAAAAAAGGGTGTGTCGCTTGCAGTTGCCGTGCAATAAGCCGTTCAGCTACCCCGGATTCGTTACGCCAACTATGACGCTTCGGTCGATCTTCACCCCGCATGTCGATTTATCCTCCAACACGAACCCACTAAACCACGCGCAGCCCGCGTCACATGCACACCCGTTGCATCAGCATATTACTACGACTAAATGATAGCCCAATTAACGAATCACATGTGCTGCCAGGTCGCCGTGAGGTGTTGATCTCTACAGCGGGCCGACATTCCTGCACGGTTGTCGGCAACCGTCCCTCGGCTAGGTGGTAAGGGTGTGCTTTGGTATGTCTTCGTCGCATGACGGACGTTGGACGACGTACATGGCGCGAGCTATCCCGGTAAATGCTTGGGAGTACGGGCAAGCTTCATATAAGTGGAAGCTTGGGGCCCCGCAGTGTTGCTTGTCGTCTCTTGTCGCTGCGCCCTCACCTTGACCACATTTCAGCTTGACGCCATCGCATTGCCTACGTCGAATCGATAATCGCATAGTTCGCTCGACGCGCACGACAATGGCCGACGACCGAAAACCTTCGATCGAGCATATCTCGGATGACAAAATCGCGCCTACTACTCTGGAAGCAGGAAATGGGGTCATCGATGGGCATCGCAAGCTGGTCCCACCGCCGTTGGTGGCTGCTATGAGTGCCGAGGAAAGGATTGAAGCAGAGAAGAGGATGCGACGGAAGATCGATACGAGATTGTTGCCGATGATTATCCTGATGTATATCATGAGTATGTCTTGGTAGATGACCACAGGCAGACAGCGCTAACGATGCTCAGATTACCTTGATAGGAATAACATCGCTGCCGTTCGACTAGCAGGTCTCCAGGATGAATTGGAACTCACCAGTGTGCAGTATCAGGTATGCAACTGTTTGAGCTACGCCCATAAAGCACCTCCTGACTACTATAGACCACCGTCTCCATCCTCTTCGTCGGTTACATCCTCATGCAGATCCCGTCAAACCTGTTAGTAATATCCATGTACGAACTGTATGTGAGACAAATACTGACTTCGTACACTCATCTTTAGGTTCCTCAACAAGACCGGAAAACCAGCCATATACCTTCCGACGTGCATGATCATCTGGGGCATCATATCGGGTGCGACTGCTGCATGCCAGAACTTCGCAGGACTGGTGGTGTGCCGTTTCTTCCTGGGATTCATCGAAGCCGCATACTTCCCAGGATGTCTGTTCTACCTCAGCGCTTGGTATACGAGGAAGGAGCTGGGTCTGAGAACGGCGGTGCTTTACTCTGGAAGTTTGATCTCGGGCGCCTTCGGTGGGCTCATTACCGCGGGGATCACGAGTAATATGGATGGCACGCAGGGCTTGAGAGCGTGGCGTTGGGTGTTCATAATCGAGGTAAGTATCGTACGCGCCGAGCTGGATATCTGGGATGTTAGCTGATCCTTCAGGGTATCATTACCGTCGCGATTGCCTTTGGCGCCTTCTGGATCCTACCCAACTTCCCTCGAACAACTTCCTGGCTCACAGAGGAAGAACGCCAACTCGCCGTCTACAGGCTTCAGGAAGACGTTGGCGAAGACGACTGGGTCTCTGCGGAATCCCAGACCTTCTTCCACGGTCTAAAGCTTGCTTTACTCGATATCAAGACTTGGGTCCTTACGATCATGCTTCTGGCGAACGTATCCTCGGCTAGTGTTACCAACTTCTTCCCAACAGTGGTCAAGACGCTAGGATACCCAAACATCGAGACGCTTTTGCTAACAGCACCACCTTACGTTCTCGCGGTCATCACCACCTACCTCAACGCCTGGCATGCCGACCGCACCGGCGAACGATTCTTCCACATTGTCCTCCCTCTCTGCGTCGGCGTAGCAGCCTTCATCCTTGCCGCCGCTACGACTGCAACAGCACCTCGCTACGTCGCCATGATGCTGATGGTACCTGGTGTATACACTGGATATGTCGTAGCTCTGGCCTGGATTTCCAACTCTTTGCCCCGCCCGCCAGCGAAGAGGGCGGCAGCACTGGCTTTCATCAACGCGATCAGTAACACGAGCTCGATTTATGCAAGCTACATGTATCCTCAGCCAAAGAGTGGTCCGGCGGATTTGACGGTTCCCCTGAGTGTGGATTGCGCGACTGCAGCACTGGCCATTATCATGGCGGTCATTATGCGCATTATACTGGGGCGACTGAACAAGAAACTTGCTCGTGGAGAACACGTTGAAGGCGCAATCAACGCTGTCCCTGGGGTTGGTGCCGAGAGAGGGTTCAGATTCTTAATCTAGAGACTTGGAAACTGGAGATTGTAGGGTAGTGAGTTGGATATAGAGACGATTAGCAGGATTGTGCATCGATTGGTCCCCCTGTTTTACTTCTTCGCCACCCCCTTCTTCCGTCACCTCACTGTATGACGACGCGTACAGGTGCTGAGACAACAGTTCCCCTCTTCAGATTGCTTTTCCTCAGTGTCTCAATCAAAACTACTCGTGATACATGTGTGAAGGCTGGTGAGTGGCTGGATGCTGAGTTGGCGAGATACTGGAAGGTTCCATATCGTCATCGGCCCGAACAAGGCTTAGCGTCTATCGCGAGCTTTGGCCACCCAGGCAGCGCGTCGCGCGACGACTCACCACGTTTTATCGCAGCCCATCCCAGCAGCACATCATCCGTCGAGGATTCAGCAGCACATTCATACGAACTATCGGTCCGCTTCACCAGAGTTGCCAATACACCTTTCACTGCCGGGGACCATAGAGTGAACGCCTTGCGATAGCTAGCGTCACACTCTGTTAGCGCTCTGTGCACACACGATGCACCTCCACGCGACCACAGGAACAGCGCCGATTATTCAACGCAGACCTTTATCACTTTCGCGTCGGGAATCGCACAACATCAATCACTTCGATACTGTGTAACTTTCGAAGGACCAATCAATACCATCACTCAAGGCAACCACGCGTTGTCAGCTGACGCCACCCGCATATCTTCTGCAAACTTCAAAAGTCCAACTTGGAGATTAACCTCATTATGGATTTTTCAAACAGTGCCTTTAGGGCCATGCCAAATTCTAAAGTCTCCGACGACACCATGTCTCACGCAAATCTTGTAATGGCATGTCGATGGGGCTGGACGAGCACCCCGGACGAAGGAGCAAACAACCCCTTCGCCTCTTCATCTACCTCGCAACAAATACCCGCCTCTACGTTCAACAACATCCGGACCAAGCGTTTTGCGCCGTGCCAAGGTCGTCTCTATCACCAGCTACTCTGCTCTCACCGCATCCGGACGGATCTTGTCGAAGACTGTGGCGAAAACTGCATCGATCCGTATGGCGACACCGTTGACGCTGCCTTTGTATGTAACGAATGCATTCAAGCCGAAGCAGCGAAGATTTGGGAACAACGGCAAGCGGCGCACAACGCGACCTACCCTCCTATGGGACAAATGAGTAAAGAGCAGTACGAGCAGTGGTATGCCGAGCACCGACAGCTCGAAGCAGAGTTCTCGCGCGACCAGCGAGTATACGAGTTGGAAATTAAAGCAAAAACACGACCGAGCAACATTTGCTCTGCCCTGGAAGCTAGCAAAGAGGAGATGGACTTTGCGACCGAGCTTGACACATTATCTCTTTCTTTGATGGCGTCAAATAACTCAAATGCCGAGCAAGCACAATACCAGCCTCAGGGACGTACCCGAACGAGCTTGGCGACAGATCCTGATGAGCAGCTCCATTGGAACTTGAACACGCTTGCTTTGGATCGCGGCGCATGTGGTATTGAGTACTCGCAGCCGAGTAGTGGAGTGTCTCCAACACGGCAACTGGACCCGGAGGAGCTGTGGAGGAAGCCGCGGAATTGAGAGCTTGTACACTGTTCTTAGTCTGGCGTACATGTCGTGTTGATTAGCGATTGCATAGGTTTGGCGTCTGGAAAACTCCACGCACGTGGAAGTGTTTGTGTAAGACTTTCTTGTAAGCAATAAATGTCTTGTCTAGCGACTCTGCTATCCAAACGACGTAAAACCGTTCTGTTCTGAGTTTGCCAGTGATTCGCATGAAGCTACGCAGCCACACGAAGTTTGTGGTCCGATGTGGGGCGTAGTGATGTGTCAAAGCATTAGCACGACGCACACTGCCCCTCATGCGAAGACAGCACACGTCCTATGGGAAGACTGCTTGGCTCTTCCTTGATCGAGCGTTTTACGTCGAAAAGACCCGCTTTGAAACCGCTGCAGCATTTTGACGACTGAGAATATATACGTTGCATTTGAGAATTTCTATATCGAAATATATTCGGAGCCTTGGCGCAATGGTAGCGCGTTGGTTTTCGGTCAGAAAGCATAATCACCAAAGGTACACTTCACCAATCACCTCTCATTCCAGCACCATCTAACAGTTCATCAGGTTGTGGGTTCGATCCCCA